GAAGCAAAAAAAAAAAAACCCAAACAGAAAAGCAAAAAAAAAAAAAGAGTCCAAAAAAATGAGGATTGTGTAAGGAGCCTCTGGGACAACTTCAAGCGTGCCCACATTCACATCATAGGGGTGTGCCAGAAGGCGAAGAGAAAGAACAAGAAATTGAAAATCTATTTGAAACAATAATGACAGAAAACTTCCCTAACTTGGTGAAGGAAACAGACATACAAGTCCAGGAAGCACAGAGAGTCCCAAACAAGATGAACCCCAAGAGGTCCACACCAAAATATATCATGAAAATGCCAAAGGTTAAATACAAGGAGAGAAACTTAAAAGCAGTGAGAGAAAAACAGTCCGTTACTTACAAAGGAACTCCCATAAGACTGTCAGCTGATTTCTCAAAAGAAACTTTGCAGGCCAGAAAGGAGTGGCAAGAGGTATTCAAGGTAATGAAAAACAACGACCTACCACCAAGATTACTCTATTCCGCAAAGCTATCATTTAGAATCAATGAGTTTCCCAGACAAGAAAAAGCTAAAGGAGTTCATCACCACCAAACCAGTATTACATGAAATACTGAAGGGTCTTCTTGAAGAACAAAAATATGAACAATAAAATGGCAATTAATACATATCTATCAACAATAGAATCTACAAACAAAATGAGCAAGCAGAACACAATCAGACTCCTAGACACAGAACTTTTTGTTGCTTGCCAGAGGGGTGGGGGCTGGGGGGATGGGTGAAGGAATTAAGAAGTACAAATTGGCCCTGGTCGGTTTGGTCCAGCGGTTGGAGCATCGGCCTGCGGTCCAGAGAGACCCGGGTTCGGTTCCCGCTAAGGGCACGTACCTCGGTTGCAGTTTGTCCCTGGCCCTGGTTGGTCCTGCAGGTGGCAGCCACTTGATGTGTCCCTTTCATGTCAATGTTTCTCTCTCTCTCTCTCTCTCTCTCTCTCTCTTCCTCTTTCTCCCTCCCATTCTATCTGAGCAAAAAATGTCCTCAGGTGAGGATAAAAAAAAAATTAAAAAGAAAAAAAAAGAAGTACAAATTGGTTGTTAGACTGATGAACCTGAGAGGGAAGCAGGGAGGGAGGGCGGGATGAGATAAACCAAAGAACTTCTATGCATATATGCATAACCAATGGACACCAACAACAGTGTGGGGAAGGCAGGAGCGGGAAAGGATTGGGGAGGAGGAGTCAATGGGGAAAAAAAGGGAAGACAACTGTAATATTCAACAATAAAGATGAGTTAAAAATATAAAATAAAGAAATTAAAAAAACAAAACAGAACACAAAAGCTCAGTTATGGAGGGCTGTCAAGACACATAGGACTTCTACCCTCCTCGTACCTTCCTCTAAATTAAGCCAAATTACCAGCATCTTGAATCTAGGTCCAGCAATACTGATAGCACCACCATTAGAATTACTTCTATTGAAATGGGCTTCAGGGAAGTTATAAGGAATACTACAAAATCAATCACTTTTATTACAAAGTTTTATTCAACATATAGTCTCTTCTCCAAGGAAATACATGATAAGTTATGATTTGTCAGTTCTGTTTGGTTCAAATAATCAGCTTATTTTTAACTTTATGGATACAGTGATTGCATTTCTCGCGGGTTGGCTGCTTAGTTTTATTAAAATTAAATTTGTGGGCTGCTTGCATCAAGTGTCTGATGTGCATTTTGTGTACTTATTCCAGTGTCCATTTTATGTAATTTACTATCCTTATTTCCCATTCTTATCTTCCCTCCTTTTATTTTTTTTAAATTAAATTTATCGGGGTCACATTGGTTAATAAGATCATATAGGTTTCAAGTGTAGTACATTTCTAGGATACATAGAAATGTATACCTACTTTTATATTATTTTATTTTGTTCCTACATTTATAAGCTACTGTGAATCATTAAATGGCTTATAAACATACACTTCCTTTTACTTGAGTAGCTCTTTGTGAATTCTACCACTGTTCTCTAATTGTTAGGCTCTCTAACAAAACTGGTAAGTGCTCCTGGTTTGTATTAACTGGGACCTTGGAGAAATCACTCTACCTATCTGTGCTTCCTTAAAATGAAAACAAAAAATAGTACTCACTTCATAGGGTTGGTTATGAGTAATACACGTGGCACGCATAGAACTATACCCTCCATGTACTGTTATGTTGGTATTAGTTATTACCACCCAAGTCACTGATTAAAACGACAATTAAAACAAGGAATGCCACTAATCCTTCTTCTTTGACACTGATCCAACGCTATGGTTTATGCTGGTTACAGACTTTGTCAAATGCCTTGTTAAAGATGAGACATACAATATTCTTCCACTGGCTAAAGTACACAAATTACAAAAACAGAATAGTAATAAATTAGGTCACTATTAATCTAAAGGCAAGAATTTCTTGAAACTAGAGAGGTAGCTTCATGGAAACTGGACGGCAAAGGACAAAGGAAGTTAATGTACTCACTGAAAAATAACTAAAAAAAAATCTAGTTAAACTACTTAATCATAAACTTTTTAGGAGACTGGTTTAAAATGTATAAAATAACTTTTACAATTCAAATCTATTTTTAAATGCATTAAAATAAGACCTCCATAATAAATAACCAAAAGTAACAATTATTTTATAACACTTGGGAGACAGACAAGAAAGGAAAAAGTGCAGGACCTGAAGAACTAGGCTCAGTCCTGGCTTTACCACTTCCTGGATACTTAACTTTGGCTGACCTCTGAGGTTCTATAACTACTAGTCATTACAGTTTTATTCATTTTCAATCCTTACAACAGGGATGGGGGTGAATAACTAACTTGCTGAGCTGTTGTGAGAATTAATGAAATATACAAAAAAAGATCTTAAACCATAAACTATGGTAGAAGTTATTACCATTTAAAAGGGTAGGAAGCCATGGACAGTTTGGCTGCCTGTGGACCTAAGGGTTCTGGGTTCTGGGTTCAATTCCCTGTCAAGGGCTTGTACCTGGGGTTGCAGGTTTGATCCCCAGCTGCTTGTGTGAGAGGAAACCAACATGGATGTGTCTCTCTCACATCGATGCTTCTCTCCTCTCTCTCCCTTCCTTCCTCCCTCCTTCCACTCTACCTAAAAAAAAAAAAAAATCAATGGAGCTCTGGCCAGTTTGGCTCAGCAGTTAGAGCATTGGCCTGCGGACTGGAGTCCTGGATTTGGTTCCCGCTAAGGGCATGTACCTCGGTTGCAGTTTGTCCCCCGCCCTGGTTGGGGTCATGTGGGCAACCACTCGATGTGTCCCTTTCACGGTGATGTTTTTCTCTCTCTCTTCCTCCCTCTCTCCCTCCCGCTCTATCTGAAGATAAATGCAAAAATGTCCTCAGGTAAGGATATAAATAAATAAGAAAATAAATAAATAAATAAATACAGTCTGTTAAAAAAAAAAAATCAATGGAAAAATATCCTTGGGTGAAGATTAACTAAAAAAATAAAAGGGTAGGAAACTCTCTTAAATAATCCCATTATATTCTGAGTACCATATCCCCATTTTTACTTTTTCTAGCCTTAATATTATTTTTTATAAAACCTCACTTTCATAGAATAAACACACTTTCAAGGTTTTAGGCTCTTTTAAAATATAGCTACACAGGTAACTTTGGAGCAGAAAAAGGCAAGCTAGCTACATGGATCTTAGTTACTTCACAGACTGGATTCTAGGTAATATATATCCAAATTATCAATGTAGCTAGGTGAACGTGGGTTTACTGTGATCTGGTTCCAACTTCGTTTGTTTTTTCCGTTAAATGTTGTAATGTCAACGCATCCATTAGCTAACACCATAATGGCATCCGACCTGCATGTCTGACTGGTTTGCTAAAGCTTTATTCTTCATGAAACACCTGAATTGGGAAGTCTGCTTCCCTTTAGGCCTCTCTAGACTATGTCAGACTCTTAAGTTCAATTACAACTTAAATACCTATTCTACCTAAAATTCTTTATAATGTAGAAGGCCCATTAGTGTACTAGTAGCCGCAGAGGTAAAAATCCAACAACTCTGGAAAAGCCAAGCAGTATTAATAAAAACTGTATTTACTTCAGGCATAGTGCACACACCATTTCAGCTAAACCATCCTAACCACTAGCAACCACAATTTTACAAACTAGCTTGTCTCATCTCTAGCTAGGATTCCTACAAGTCTACTCTGTTTTTCTATCAAATTAGTCTAACTCCACTTAACACACCAAAAAAGAAATCACTTTATTAACAAATGTCCATGCCTGCAGTAGCTTGCCTACATTTTACTAACCTTCAACATCATTTCAATCACCCTCTTTCACCTGAGACAATCAGTCCAGTTACTAACGAAAGTGTTCTTTTCTTTTTAAGGCTTGAGAGTAAAAATGACCAAAGAAAAAAGTTTTGCAGGAGAGAGAGCAGGTACAGAAATTCAACTTGCCTCTGCCCCCTCTGGCCAACGTCACAATAACAACATTTTCAGAGCAAAAAGTTTTTGAAACGTGTCCCAGTGGCAACTGGAGGTTCTTACTGGACATCTCCTTGCAAATTCACAACTCTGGAAAACTAACTTTCTTGATAGTTCAGGGTTCTTAACCCCAAACTCAAGTCCAGACTTGAGCAAATAACTTACATCACTTGACAGTGTTAAGTTTTCTTCAGTGTCTCTGATTCTAAAAGTGTAGGCTCACTCCTAGGGGATCAGAGTTCGCTAATGACACCCAAAAGGTCTGAGGGTGCAGCAGCCTACAGCCCCTGGGAAAGGTGCAGGAAGGGGGGAGCAGGAGCGAAAGGCAAGGAAGGCGTCCACGGTCTGGGCTCTGGGCGGCGGGCCCCCGACCTGCGCTCCAGACGGCAAGCCGGGCACACTGCCTGTCCTGCCACGCAAGTGCCAGTGTGAGGCCGAGCCCGGACCGGGGCGGGCGGGGACCCCGCAGCGGGGCCGGGGAGGAGCGGGGCCTGAGCGGCGACAGCGGCGACAGGCGCTCCGGGAGGGCGGCGGGGAGAAGGCGAGAGCCCGGTCGCACCTGAACCCCTGAAGCGGCTCCTCTCCACGTCGACGGGCGAGGTCCGCGGGCCGCCCACGCCCCGGGGGGGATGGCGATGCGAGTGCTGGGGCCGGCGCGGGAGTTCCTCGTCGTCCTCCTGGCCAGGAGAGGCCGCGTCTTTCTCCCCGGCAGTCTCCACCAGCCTCACGGCGGTCCCCGGGGCACTCCTCCGCGGCTGGGCCCAGGCGATCCGCGGCAGCAGCGGCTCCCGCTCCTCGTCCTCCCCGTCCAGGCTCTCGTCGCCCGCGGGCGCACGCCGCCCGGGCTCCGAGGCTTGCGCCATGGCTTCCCTCTGTGTTTTCCGCGCTGAGACCGGCTCAGAGAGACGAGGCATCCGGGTCTGGCCTCCGCATCGCGGAAAGATTGTCGTCGCTGGGTCGGACGGAGGCCACCTCACTAGCGTGCGGCAGCGCAAGGTTCCCGCCCAGCGGTTGCCCAGCCCCGCTACCCGCCACGCCCCAACTCGCACCTCCCCGCGCCTGCGCGTAAGAACGGGGGCGGCGGTGGGCGGGGCACGGCGCGCAGTCTGGAGCCGCCACCTGGCTCTGAGCTTCGGGGAAGGCTTGTGGGACAGGCTGCTGTTGCTCCTCAGGGAGCATTGGGGTCTGAGTTAAGTTACTTCCGAAAATACCCCTCTCCAACCTCTGTCGGCCTCTCTCACCACGGCAGGTTTGTCTCAAAGAGTTTACTACAGTCTATCTATACATTTCCTTGTATGATTTATTTCCTCCACTAGAAGTCCATGAGAGCAGGAACCTCATCTTTTGTTCAAACATTCCAGATATTGGTAGTTTTTAGAGAGAGAAAGGGGGAGGTGGAGAGAGAGAGAAGGAAACATCTATCTTTTGTCCCACCCACCCCATGTATTCATTAGTTTACACCTGCATGTGCCCCTACCAGGGATCAACCCCCAACCCTGGCATATGAGGATGATGCTCCAACCCACAGAACTAACCGGCCAGGACTGCATTATTAATTCTTCACCTTCCTATTTTAATATGTTTTTAAATAATAAGCTTTCTATGTTTAAATAAAGCTATGCATTTTCCTTTAAGCACTGCTTTATCTGCATTGCACAATTTTTTTTTTTAATCTTCACCCGAGGACATTTTTCCATTTTTTTGTTCAGATAGAGTGGGAGGGAGAGAGAGAAAGAAAGAGAGAGGGAGAGAAACATTGACGTGAAAGGGACACATCAAGTGGCTGCCACCGGCTCGATCAACCAGGGTCGCGGACAAACTGCAACGGTGGTATGTGCCCCCAGCGGGAACTGAACCTGGGCGTCTCTGGACCACAGGCCAACGATCCAACCACTGAGCCAAGCCGGCCAGGGCTGCATTCCACAATTTTTGATATGGTCTATTTTCATCCAGTTCAAAATGTTTTTTGTTTTTTTTTTATTTACCTTATGATTTCTTCTTTGACTCACTTCTTTGAAATGTGTTTAATTTACAAATATTTAGGGGCATTCCCAGATATTATTATTAATTTCTAATTTACTTCTGTTGTACCAGAGAAGATACACTAAGATTTTAACCTTTGAAATCTATTGAGACTTATTTAATAACCCAGCATATTATTTACCTTGGTGAACATTCCATGTATGCTTTATGTGTATTCTGCAGATTGAGTGGTTTTATAATTGTCAATTGATTCTATAAATATCAATTCAGTTACATATTGATAATGTTTAGATCACCTATATCTTTAAGGATTTTTAAATTTAGTTTTATTGTTCACTGAGAGATTACTATAATCTAATTATGTTTGTAAATTTGTCTATTTCCTGTTTTAGTTTGGTGAGTTTTTGCTTTATGTATTTTGAAGTTGTTATTAGGTGCATGTATACACAGGATTTTTATTTCTTCCTGATTATTTGGTCTCTTCTTCTCTCTCTCTCCCGCTCTTGCTCTCGCTCTCGCTCTCTCTCACTATTCCTCCTCATCTCTCTTAACACCAGGCTTGAAGTCTACATTGTCTGATATTAATATAACAATTCCATCTTTCTTAGGCTTATGGCTTGCTTGGTAAATCTTTTTCCATCCTATTCTTTCAATCTATTTGTGACTTTATATTACTGTATATGTATCTCTTATGGATAGATTATAATTGGTTTTTGATAATTAAAAAAATCCAGTCTGATAATGTCTACCATTTAACTGGAGTTTTTAGTCTATTTACATTTTTAAAAAATAATGATGATGGTTTTTATTTTTTAAATTATCTTTATTAATTTGTTTTTGTTACAGATGTTTCTTCTTTTTCTTCCATTGACACCCTCCTCTCCATCCCCCGCCCCCTCCCCATCTCCAGCTTTGTTGTCTATGTACATTGGTTATGCATACATGCATATAAGTTCTGTGGTTTATCTCCCCCCCCCCAACATCCCCTCTTCTGGGGTTTGTCAGTCTATACCCTACCTCTATGTCTCTGGGTCAGTTTTGTTCATCAGTTTGTTTAGTTCATTATATTCCACAAATAAGTGAAATCATGTGATATTTGTCTTTCTCAACTTGGCTTGTTTGGCTTAGCATAATACTCTCCAGGTCCCTCCATGTCATCCCAAATGATAAGAGATCATTCTTTCTTACAGCTGCATAGTATTCCATTGTGTACATGTACCACTGCTTTTTTATATACTCATCTACTAATGGATACTTGGGTTGTTTCCAGATCTTAGCTGTTGTAAATAGTGCTGCTATGAACACGGGGGTACATATATTCTTTCTGATCGGTGTTTCAGGCTTCTTAGGTTATATTCCTAGAAATGGGATCACTGGGTCAAATGGCAGTTAAATTTTTAACTTTTTGAGGTAACACCATAATGTTTTCCATAGTGGCTGCACCAGTCTGATTCCCACCAGCAGTGTACTAGAGTCCCCTTTTCTCCACACCCTTGCTAACACTTGTTGTTTGATGATTTGTTGATGGCAGGTGTGAGGTGATACCTCATAGTTGTTTTAATTTGTATCTCTCTGATGATTAGTGACGTTGAACATTTTTTCATATGTCTCTTGGCCATTTGTATGTCCTGTTTGGAGAGGTGTCTATTTAGGTCCTCTGCCCATTTTTTTTTTTTTTAATCCTCACCTGAGGACATTTTTCTATTTTTTGTTCAGGTAGAGTGGGAGGGAGAGAGAGGAACAGAGAGAGAGAGAGAAACATCGATATGAAAGGGACACATCGAGTGGCTGCCACCCGCACGACCAACCAGGGCCAGGGACAAACTGCAACCAAGGTACGTGCCCTTAGCAGGAACCGAACCCGGGTCTCTCCGGACCGCAGGCCGACGCTCTAACCGCTGAGCCAAACCGGCCAGGGCTCCTCTGCCCATTTTTCAATTGGGTTCTTTGTTTTTCTTTTGTTGAGTTGTATGAGTACTCTATATATTTTGGAAATTAATCCCTTATCTGATGCATCATTGGCAGTTATGGTCTCCCATATGGTGGGTTCCCTTACCATTTTGATGATTGTTTCTTTTGCTGTGCAGAAGCTTTTTAGTTTGATATAGTCCCATGTGTTCATTTTGTCCTTTGTTTCTCTTGCCTTAGGTGTTGTATCAGTGAAAATTCTGCTGTGTATGATGTCTGAAATTTTGTTGCCTACATTTTCGTCTAGGATTTTTATGGATTCATGAGTTACATTTAAGTCTTTTATCCATTTTGAATTTATTTTTGTGTATGGTGTAAGTTGATGGTCTAGTTTCATTTTTTTGCAAGTAGCTCTCCAATTTTCCCAACACCATTTGTTGAAGAGACTGTCTTGACTCCAATGTATGTTCTTGCCACCTTTGTCAAATATTAATTGAGCATATTGTCTTGGGTCAATTTCTGGGTTCTTGGTTCTGTTCCACTGATCTATCTGTCTGTTCTTATGCCAGTAGCAGGCTGTTTTGATTACAGTGGCTTTGTAGTATAACCTGATATCTGGTAATGTGATCCCTCCTACTTTGGTCTTCTTTTTCAAGATTGCTGTGGCTCTTCGAGTTCTTTTTTGGTTCCATATAAACTTTTGGAGTGCTTGTTCTAGTTCTGTAAAATATGTCATTGGTATTTTGATGGGGATTGCATTGAATCTATAGATTTCTTTGGGTAGTATGGACATTTTAATGATGTTAATTCTTCCAATCCATGAACGAGGTATGTGCTTCCACTTTTTTATATCTTCTTCTATTTTTTTTTTTAATGACCTGTAATTTCTGTGAAGACGTCCTTTACTTCTTTGGTTAAGTTTATTCCTAGGTATCTTAACTTTTTTTGCTGTGATGGTAAATGGATTGATCCTTTTAATATTATGTAGTGACCTACTCTGTCTCTTATTATGGTCCTCGTTTTGAAGTCTATCTTGTCAGATATGAGTATTGCTACACCAGCTTTTTTTTTCATTTCCATTTGCTTGGAAATTTTTTTCCATCCCTTCACTTTCATCCTGTGTGAATCTTTTGTTGTGAGATGGGTCTCTTGTAGACAGCATATATATGGGTTGTGTTTTCTTATCCTATCAGCTACCCTGTGTCTTTTAATTGGAGCATTTAAGCCATTTATATTTAAGGTAATTAGCGATAGATAGTTATTAGTTGCCATTTTAATTTTATGCTTGTGTTCCTCTCTCTGTCTCTCTCTGTTTCTTCTTCTTCTTACAACAGTCCCTTCAGCATTTCTTGCAGTGCTGGTTTGGTGGTGGTAAATTCCTTTAGCTTTTTTTTTTATTCGTGAAGCTCTTTATTTCTCCTTCAATTTTGAATGATAGCCTTGCAGGATAGAGTAGTCTTGGATTCAGACCCTTGCCTTGCATTACTTTGTACACTTCATGCCACTCCCTTCTGGCCTGCAGCATTTCTATTGAGAAATCAGCTGACAGTCTAATGGGAATTCCCTTGTAGGTAACTTTCTGTATCTCTCTTGTGTCCTTGAAGATTCTTTCTCTGTCTTTAATGTTTGCCATTTTTATTATGATGTGTCTAGCAGTGGGTCTTCTGGGGTTCATCTTGCTTGGAACTCTCTGTGTTTCCTGGACTTGTGTGACTTTTTCCTTTACCAGTTTAGGGAAGTTTTCTGTCATTATTTTTTCAAACACATTCTCTATTCCTTTCTCTGATTCTTCTCCTTCCGGTACCCCTATAATGTGAATGTTGTTAAGTTTTGTGTTGTCCCACAGCTCCCTTAAACTCTCCTGCTTTTTAAACTTTTTTTCCATTTTCTGCTCTATTTGGGTGTTTTTCGCTACCTTGTCTACTAAGTCGCTGATTTGGTCTTCAGCTTCTAATCTACTATTGAACCCTTCTAAGGTGTTTTGGATAACAGCTATGTCATTCTTTATTTCCTCTTGATTTTTATGCATAGCTTCAACCTCTTTATTCATA